GTTAAACTCTGGAATAAAGAGAGATGCAAAGATTAATTCAATAAAACTTTGAGTAATGATATATTGATTAAAACCTCTTATAGAAGATTAAATGGAAAAAACATATAGGACTTATTGTCCTATTCACTTAAAGAAAATAGAAACAAACTTTAAAATGACTTTCTTCTTATAAGTGTAAAAGCAAAATCAAAGACAAAAAAAATAGAAATGTTTATTTCACCAGGGGTACCCCTACAACACAGTTGTGCTTCAAAGGCAAACATGTCTACGGCAAGCAGAGGCCTACCAATCAATGCTTTAGCATCGAGTTCCACCTTGTTGCAACTGTCTTCATCAAATTCATTGAGTTACCTCACTTTATGTAGCACTTGGCCCACAGGATTCTGTTTACAGTTCAGACTGGATGAATAAAACAAGACTTTTTTTGTTACTTGTAGAAAAGTCTGGTTTAATATTCTGTCTCTTTGTCTTATTATCAGTTTAAAACAAAAGAAATGACAGTGTATCCCTTGGGTGTCAAATTAATTTTGACTGAGGGCCAACGTTTCATGTTTAACTTCCACTAAATAGAAATCATTATGTTCCTCGTCTCATTGCTACAACTGAACACCACAAATAAACAATAACTGAGCTCTACATGGTATTTCCTGCATAGAAACATAGTTTTAAAATGTCCTTTTATAAACACTGAAAAGTATTACTATTATACAAAAATACTATTAAAATTAAGAGTTTTACTCACTGTTGAGTTGCGGTAAGTCTCAAATTCTGAACTCTCCCACTTTCCGACAGGGAATTCCTATGCAAAATTGACATGTATTATGGGAGATGTAGTTTATGATCAATGCTGGCTTTAAAGCAGCTTATTTTAAGACAACGTTAAAGGGCTATTTAGAGCAGTGGACAGAAGTCACCTACAGGCCGCAGTTAGCTTGCAGGCCGTGAATTTGACGTGGTCTATCCTGTTGAGCAAGAACAGCTGGGTGAAATATCTCGACTTCCTCTGTAGTAAAATCAAAGTTGTAAAGTGACAAAGTACAAGTACTTTGCTACTGTTCTGAAGTAGAAATCTTGTTTATACTTGAGTAATTGTTTTTCAACTGATTTTTACTTCTACTCCTTACATTTTCACCCAATTATCTGTACTTTCTACTCCTTAGATCCAAAAGTGCCTGTGACATCAAAATTCCGTATTAATTTTGAATGCCTTTTTGAAATGAAAACATTGGTAACATTGTAAAAAAAAAAAACGTTTCACGCTGCTGAGATGAACCGTTGAGAGATTTGCAAGTGAGTTAATAGGAAGTGATGTCAAAGGGGAATGTCTTCATGTAAACAAAGCATTGTTACGATGGCTGACAACACAGACTGTAGAGAATAAGCTGATGTTTCTTCAGATTTGAGTCATTATCAGAGAGAAATTAATTAGAGTCGGAGTTCAAATAACATTGTTTCAGTGAACAAAGAGCAGGGAGTTTCCTTTCTTAAAGAGTTCCCCTTTGATGTCATTTTCTGTTTCACTTTGGCTGAACCTAATGTAAAAGAAAAAATGCCAGTAATGTCGCTAACTGGGTAAAATCAAATGTGTTATGCCAAGTTTCTTAAATATAAAGATGCTTTTGTTGACTCTTTGTATTTGAAGGATATGCGTGTTGCAGGCACTTTAAAATATATAAGAAGTTGAAAGTTCAATAAAAACCTATCCAGATAAATTGTGCCTCTTGAATAGAATAAATTGTAGATGAGAAGTATAAATATATACAGTTCCCACACCCTTTTGGTTTGTACGCGACCCATCATCACACCTGTTTGACACAAATCACGTCACACTCCGGCAGGACATGTCGGACGTGTGTAGTCTCATGTGAAAATGACGTGGCAGAGATATGCAGCTGAAACAGTTAGCCTAGCACATTCCAAATGTTTCAAACATTTTTACATATTATTATAGTCATTATAGCATTCAGAAAATAAATATTTTTAGGAGAGGTCACCTCCCAAGTAGACATCTAACGACTCACTTTTACTCAATACTTTTTATACTTAAGTACATTTTATATCAGAAGTTTACTTTTGATACTTACTGTAAGTACAAAAAATGTCAGATACACAAAGACTTTTTCTCACGTAATATTCTTAGAGAAGACTTTAACTTTTACCAAAGTAATTTCATGGTAAACTACTTGTACTTTTACACAAGTACATATCACTTCAAGGTACTTTATACAAGACTGAATAAAACAATATTTCGGTGTGTTTGTCGTCTTCAGTGGTGGCCATCTACGACTACTCTGCAGACAAGGAGGATGAGCTGTCGTTCCAGGAGGGCGCCATCATTTATGTTGTGAAGAAGAACGAGGACGGCTGGTTTGAAGGAGTGATGAACGCCACCACCGGCCTCTTCCCTGGAAACTACGTGGAGTCCATCATGCACTACGCCGACTGAGGAGCCCTTCAGCTTTGTTGGTGGAGTTTCACTTCCTGCTCCTGGAGCTGAACGTAGATTTGCACAAACCACTAACAAACAACTTTGGAATGGACYAAAGTTATGCTGCCTTATTCATAAGGCCTTTATTTAGGTTTCTTTAAAGGCCCAAATTATGTTCTTAAAAAGTTTGGTGCGATGACTAAAACATTAAAAGAGATTTAAAGTTAATTAAAATATAAAGAGTGGAGCTGCCACTGTCTGGTTATAAAGTATGATTTATACAACCTGTCTAACACAGGTACATTCTAGATCTGCAGTTTTACTTTGTTTATAATCATCAGCTGTGCAGAAACAGCAACATCTCCAGTAATAATACACAAAATATTGTTTCCTCTGATCATGATATGATAAGGAATTAAGTTTTCTTTTACCTAAATCTACCAAATTTTTGTAGTTTTTCATCAAAATAATTTTCTAAATGAGAGAAAAATTTTCTAAAAATGCTAATCAAGATTAGCTGAAAACTACAAGCTATATCTGCAGCAACACTAGAGATWTAAAATAAGCTTTTCTTCACCCCTACATTTCAAAATCGGATTTCTCATGATCATWGTGATAATAATCACAACAGAAAAACATTCTGTGTGTGTGCATGTGTGTATGTGTGTGTGTGTTTTACTTTGCCTTAAGATGAGCCTTAACCCTTCTGTGTGTTTCCTGAGCCTTGACTGATTATTTTTGTCAGTAAAAAATCTAAAACAATAAGAAGACAAAAGACGACGTGTCTCTAAAGCTTTAACATGATTAGAAGAGCCAGTCATCTGCTTCTTCACTATTATATGTTATTTTTATGATTCATAGTGTTATTTTAGAAAACAAAGTTACTGTCTGTGTTTTTAAAAGCACTCCATAAAACCAAACCCCCGTGTTTCATTGTCAGAGAGGTTTTTACAGACTGGTGTTTGCAGTCTGCAGTTTGTTGATAAATTTGTTACAGTGTCAMTTTGAACACAGGCCTTCAGTTTACTATAAGAAGCAGCTCACCGAGGTCAAATATCCAGACAAAGTAGGATAAAGTCTAAATTATCCACAACTCAGTGATGTGGTTATCCTCATACACGATGTCATCAGCAGCTCTTTTATCCAAACTGTTAGTTTATTATAATCATTGATATATATATACATACATACATACATACATACATACATACA